CACTTTCTTCTCAAGTGCGCATGGCACATTCTCCAAGATAGATCACATCCTGGGATATAAAGTAGCCCTCAATAAATATAAAAGAATTGAGATCATACCATGCACACTCTCAGATCACAATGCTTTGAAACTTGAAGTTCATTACAGGAAGAAGTCTGGAAAACCTCCAAAAAGATGGAGGATAAGAACACCATACTAAAGAATGAATGGGCCAATCAGGCAATTAGAGAGGAAATTTAAAAATATATGGAAACAAATGAATATGAAAACACAACAATCCAAACTCTATGGGATGCGGCAAAGGCAGTCCTAAGAGGAAAGTACATTGCTCTCCAGGCCTATTTCAAGAGATTAGAAAAAGCGCAAGTGCAAAATCTAATAGCTCACCTAAAGGAACTAGAGGCAGAGCAACAAGAACGCCCTAACCCAGTAGAGGAAGAGAAATAGTAAAAATTAGAGCAGAAATAAACAACATAGAGACCAAAGAAAGAATTGAACAAATCAATGAAACCAAGACTTGGTGTTCTGAAAAATAAACAAAATTGACAAACCTCTAGCCAGACTTTTCAAAAGAAAAGAGAGAGCACCCAAATAGACAAAATTATGAATGAAAATGGACTTATTACAACCAACCCCTCAGAGATATAAGCAATTATCAAGGAATACTATGAAAAATTATATGCCAACAAATTGGACAACTTAGAAGAAATGGACACATTCCTAAAAACACACTCACTACCAAAACTCACACGGGAAGAAATAGAAAATCTGAATAGATACAAACGAGTGAAGAAATCGAATCAGTTATCAAACATCTCCCAACAAATAAGAGCCCTGGACCTGATGGCTTCCCTGGGGAATTCTGCCAGATGTTTCAAACAGAATTAATCCCAATTCTTCTCCAGCTATTCCAAAAAATAGAAATCGAAGGAAAACTCCCGGACTCATTTTATGAAGCCAGCATCACTCTGATTCCCAAGCCAGACAGAGACCCAGCAAAAAAAGAGAACTACAGGCCTATATCCTTGATGAATACGGATGCAAAAATTCTCAACAAGATCCTTGCAAATCGAATCCAGCAGCATATCAAAAGAATCATCCACCAAGATCAAGTGGGATTCATTCCTGGGTTACAGGGCTGGTTCAACATTCGCAAATCAATCAATGTGATACATCATATCAATAAAAGAAAAGATAAAAACCATATGATCCTGTCAATAGATGCAGAAAAAGCATTTGACAAAATACAGCATCCCTTCTTAATAAAGACTCTCGAGAAAGTTGGGATAGAAGGAACCTACTTAAACATCATCAAAGCCATCTATGAGAAGCCTTCAGCTAACATCATCCTCAACGGGGAAAAACTGAGAGCTTTCCCCCTGAGATCAGGAACACGACAGGGATGTCCACTCTCACCACTGTTGTTTAACATAGTGCTGGAAGTCCTAGCATCAGCCATCAGACAACAAAAGGAAATCAAAGGCATCAGAATTGGCAAAGAGGAAGTCAAACTTTCACTCTTCGCAGATGACATGATACTCTACATAGAAAACCCGACAGACTCCACCAGAAGCCTACTAGAACTGATCCAAGAATTCAGCCAAGTTGCAGGGTACAAAATCAACGTACAGAAATCGGTTGCATTTTTATACACCAATAATGAAGCAACAGAAAGAGAAATCAAGAAACTGATCCCATTCACAATTGCACAAAAAACCATAAAATACCTCGGAATAAACCTAACCAAGGATACAAGAGATCTGTATGATGAAAACTATAGAAAACTTATGAAGGAAATTGAAGAAGACACAAAGAAATGGAAAAACATTCCATGCTCATGGATAGGAAGAATAAATATAGTTAAGATGTCATTACTACCTAAAGCACTCTACACATTCAATGCAATTCCAATCAAAATTGCACCAGCATACTTCTCAAAACTAGAACAAACTATCCAAAAATTTGTATGGAACCACAAAAGACCCCGAATAGCCAAAGTAATACTGAAAAATAAAACCAAAACGGGAGGTATCACCATCCCAGACTTCAGCCTCTACTACAAAGCTGTCATCCTCAAGACAGTATGGTATTGGCACAAAAACAGACACATAGACCAATGGAACAGAATTGAGAACTCAGAAGTGGACCCAAAAGTATACAGCCAACTGATCTTTGACAAAGCAGGAAAGAATATCCAATGGAAAAAAGACAGCCTTTTTAACAGATGGTGTTGGGAGAACTGGACAGCAACATGCAGAAGAATGAAACTAGATCATTTTCTCACACCATGCACAAAAATCAACTCAAAATGGATAAAGGACCTGAACGTGAGACAGGAAACTATCAACACCCTAGAGGAGAAAGCAGGAAACAACCTCCTTGATTCCCCACCGCAGCAACTTCTTACTTGACACATCCCCAAAAGCAAGGGAATCAAGAGCAAAAATAAATTATTGGGACCTCATCAAGATGAAAAGCTTCTGCACAGCAAAGGAAACAACCCACAAAACTAATAGGCAACCAGCGGAATGGGAAAAGATAGTTGCAAATGACATATCAGATAAAGGGTTAATATCCAGAATCTATAAGGAACTCACCAAACTCCACACCCGAAAAACAAACAACCCAGTGAATAAATGGGCAGAAGATATGAACAGACACCTCTCCAAAGAGGACATCCAGATGGCCAACAGACACATGAAATGATGCTCAGCATCCCTCCTCATCAGGGAAATACAAATCAAAACCACACCGAGATACCACCTCACGCCAGTCAGTGGCTAAAATGAGGAAAACAGAGAACTCTAGTTGCTGCGAGGATGTGGAGAAACGGGCACCCTCCTACACTGTTGGTGGGAATGCAAACTGGTACAGCCCCTCTGGAAAACAGTGTGGAGGTTCCTCAGGAAACTAACAATATAACTCCCCTAGGACCCAGCAATAGCACTGCTAGGAATTTACCCAGGGGATACAGAAATGCTGATGCATAGGAGCACATGGACCCCAATGTTTATAGCAGCACTCTCAACAATAGCTAAAACATGGAAAGAGCCTAAGTGTCCATCAACGGACGAATGGGTCAAGAAGATGTGGTTTATCTGTACAATGGAATGCTACATGGCAATGAGAAGGAACGAAATTTGGCCATGTGTTGCAACCTGGATGGAACTTGAGGGTGTTATGCTGAGTGAAATAAGTCAGGCAGAGGAGGTCAAATACCATATGTTTGCACGTATAGGAGGATTGGGAGGAACTTAACAGAGGACCATGGGGGAGAAGAAAGGGGGAAAGGGAGAGAGGCAAACCATGAGAGACTCTTGAATGCTGAGAAACAAACTGAGGACTGATGGATGTGGGGGGGCGGAGGGAGATGGGCATGGAGGAGGGCACTTCTGGGGACTAGCACTGGGTGTTATATGGAAACCAGTTTGACAGTAAACTATCTGTAAAAAAAAATAAATAAAAAATAAATTTGGAATGTTTTACGTAAAAATCCACAAGTGTAAGCCTTGTTATTTCTTATTTCTTTGTGAAAATGAAACCAAATCATATTCAAATGGAAAGTTCACTCAATAAGTTTGTTTTGCCTTGCATACAGTTTGAGAACTTGTGATTCTTAGTGATGTCTTTGAGCATTCGTCCACCATTTCATATTGTAATGTTTTAAAATCTTAACAAGTAAGCTGTAGAATAACCCCAGGAGTTCTGTGATTAAGTTTAAAAGAAAAATAAGCATGCGTGCACATACACACTAGGTCTGTTTTGTAGTTTAGTTTATAAGCTTATATATAAGCTTAACCATACATCCATAAATTAGTAAACCATAACCTGAAATGAGTATTTTAATGTCATCATAAAGTCTGTAATTTAGTTTTGGAAAGATTAGGTTAATTCCTCAGTACCTTATATAATTATAATCATCTAATTTTGTACATTTCAGTTATAAGGACCCTCTTTTTTTACCATTTGTTCTTCTGAAAGCCACCCAAGTAAACAGAACTTTCTTTTATATCAGTCTGATAGCTGTGCTGATGTAGCTTCAAAGTAATGCTCTAATCTTCCCCCCCGCCCCACTATATAGCTTCCCCATCCTTTCTTCCCCAAAATATTCAACTTCCCTTTACTCATTTTCTGCGTGAGATTGGTTTACTTTTAGGTCATATGAAATTGTTTTTCCCTTCATTCATTTATTTAGGCTCTCATCTGAAAGCCCAACTGTAATTTCCATAATTAAACCATCATACACTGTATCCCTATTCCTCTTTTATTTTTCCTTATAACACCTCAGTTAGCACAATTTATCTACTATTTATTTCTTTCCATTAGAGTGAGATCTCAGTGAGAATAGGAAGTTTGTCTTTGTTCCCTGTTATATTGCATTGAGCTAGAGAGATACCTGGAAATAAGGCACCTATAGCAGTCCTTATGGTTTTTTTAGGATACATCTTACTAGCAAATGAAAATTTTCAAGTTCTATATTCATCATATTTTAGAAGTTTTGTCACTAAATGATATATTTTTTTTAAATTTCTGGCTTATGTCATTTTATTCTGTACTGGTTATTGAGTACTGTTTTTAGGAAATAAGCTGAAAAGAATGCTAGAACCAGTCGATGAAAGTATGAATTTTTATAATTGTTGAACACTTGTTTAAAATTCTGTAATAACTTGACTCTGAAATTAATATTTAAGAAAATCATACTATTTAAAATTATTCTAGTATCATATAGGATAAAAGTTTATTTTTTTCACAAATACTTGAATACAGATAAATTTAAAAACTTCCTTTTACAGTGTATAAATGATTGAATTGACAAAATTTGTTAGATCTAACCATTTTCCTGCCTATAAAAACATCAGTTACATGGTTTGAAATAAATCGTTTGATATCTGATAATTTGTTTTTTTTTAACACTGAAATAAGTTGTAAAGTGAAGGAAAAGACTAAAATTCATGTCTATGCAAATTCGTAACGTTCTTGTTTTGTTACTTATTTTCTAGGCTGTTTAGCAGACATGATCCACAAGCAGAAGAAGCATTAGCAAAGAGGAGGGGAAGGAATAGTCCAAATGGCAACCTCATCAGAATGCTGGTTCTTTTCTTTCTTGAAAGTGAGGTAAATTTTAACATAATTGTTTGTTTTATTTTTGTATTAGATTAAATTTTAAATAAAATTGTCATTTAATTCATTGTAATTAATTGATATTTTTCAATCCTATGAAAATAAGCCTTTTTCTTACAGAAATGCTTGCATGAATTTCCTGATTATAGAATTTCTATTTTGCCTTTTGTGGAAGTACATATGGAGGTGTGGGTCAACACTGAATATGGCTAGCAGTTTTTAAACTTTTATGGTAGTGTAGTACTGCATATTTGTTTGTTGTTCCTTTCTGTTTTTCTTGAATTTTTGCCTGTAGCTTTTAAAGTATATATAGAGCTCGTGAAAGTTGTCAGGCCTTTAAAACCATTAGGTCTAGGGGCGCCTGGGTGGCTTAGTCGGTTAAGCGTCCGACTTTCTCTTAGGTTATGATCTCGCGGTTCGTGGGTTCGAGCCCCACGTCCAGCTCTGTGCTGACTGCCAGCTCAGATCCTGGAGCCTGTTTCAGTCTGTGACTCCCTCTCTCTCTGACCCTCCCCTGCTCACGCTGTCTCTGTCTCTCTCTCCTAGAAATAAATAAAACGTTAAAAAATAAATAAATAAATAAAACCATTAGTTCTAATTTCTTTGAAAATTGCATTGTTTAAAGAGAAATAAAAATATGAATTTAAATGTTTTAATGAAAAGATTACAATCCCCTTAGCAGTATTTCCATGTGACATTTTGATGTTAGTTATCACTTAAATAGTTTTGTAATTAACATTCATAATCTAGTATCTATCAGAATCTGCTTTCACAAGTGAACTTTGGTTTGCCCACTTAAAATGCTCTTTGTTATTAGAACTATATTTCCTACTGCTGTTATGACACTGAGTGAATGGCAAACTAACCCTAAAGAGTCCCTGAATGAATACACTACTTGGCTTAGAATTGAGTGGAAACAGAGTTACAAAGAAAATGAAGAATATCTAGAAATCTTGGATCCTGAATTTTACCTGGAAAAATATTTTTGATTTGTGTTGGAATGTCCAGGAAGTTGAGATACTTCAAAGATTCTTACTGTTCCAATTTAAAAGTGCTAAAGAAACTAGGAATGAGAAATAGGCAGCCTATATGAAAATTGAGATCAAAGAGAATTAGAAGCACTGTAAGTGAAATGAGTGGAATTAGGACGAAACAAGAGTTACTGATATTTTTTAAGCAAATTGGAATGAGCAGAGAATGAATAAAATCAGAAACAAAACCGTCTGGAGAGTTACATTTGAGTAAAGGATGTTTTTGGAACAGTGTTTTAAATATGTATAGAAATTACATGGAGATCTTGTTAAATAACATGCCAGTTCTAATTCAGTAGCTCTGGGGTGTGTGGCAAATTATAAATATTTTTAGATGCATATTTATGATGTTTATGTCTCTAGTCCAGAGACTGACCATACTTTATGTGGTAAGGGTTTAAAATATTATTTCTTAACAAAGCAAGTGTAGATATATAATGGTGTAAAATACAAAATACTTGTAAGCTTTAAGATAAAACACTAAATTCTCAGTATCAGATTTGTGATAGGCCATTTCAAGTTATATCTTTAGCCACTTAGGTTTTAAAGGAACAGGATTAAAAGTATTATGCAAAATCAGGTCCTATATGAAAATTTGACTTTAATAGCAAAATAGTTTCAAAAATTAATATAGGTGAGATATGCAAATACTATTTTTTTAATGTGTATTTATTTCTAGGTTGGGGGAGGGACAGAGAGAGAGAGAGAATCTCAGGCAGACTCTGCATTGTCAGTGCAGAGCCCAGTGCAGGGCTCAGTCTCAGGCACCATGAGATCATGACCTGAGGCAAAATCAGGAGTCAGACACTTAACCAGCTGAGCCACATGGGCACCCCTATGCAACTACTATTTAAACTATTTGTTGAAAAGTTTAAGGAATATGATAATCGGAACTAATTGAGCATGGTTATTAATTGAAGAAAAAATTTTCGAGTCTCTGAAAGCACAAGGACTTTTTGATATGTTAAAAGGTATTTAGTTTTACAATTTCATCTTTTAGTCAAAACAGTAATTTATAATGTATATTACCATTCTCTGTCCAGGTGGCATTCCTGTATTTCTATGTTTACTGCTGTTTACTAAAGTGTTATAACAAGATTAAAATATATTTCTCACTTCTCTATGGCATTCTTGTCAGTTGCAATAGTAACTGCAAATCATATTTTAAAGTTTTATTTGATTCATAATCATAATATGCTCTTTACACCCTCCTTTGTTTCACAAGAAACATTGTTAAAATCTCTCTCCTTATTCTGTAAAACTAGTGTACATCTGGAGCTGAATGCTTATTAAAGCCATAATCTTATGGTGGGATTCTGATGGTGTCCTACTCTGAATTCCTCTTTGTTTTACTACAACACGTTAATTAGTAATATTTTAGTAATAGGCTTATGTAAAGTAGAATTGTAAGAGACCCTACAAGTCATAACATGGAATAAATCTAGCTTAGGGGCATCTGGGTGGCTCAGTCATTTAAGCATCCGACTTTGATTCACGTCAGGATCTCACGGTTCAGTTCATGAGTTCGACCCCAGCTTTGGGCTCTCTGCTGTCAGTGCAGAGCCTGCTTTAGATCCTTTATTCCCCTCTCTCTCTGCGCTTTAACCCCCACTCAAAAAGAAATAAACATTTAAAATTTTTTAGAAAAGCATCAGTGTAGCTTATAGATGAATTAGCCAGTCAGTTAACTAGGATTAACTGAAGGGATTATCATACTGCTTTTTTTTTTTTAACTGAATGATGAATGACGTTTTAGTAATAGAATTCTAAAATACTGAATTAAAAGAGGTTTGTACTATGAAGTAGTTTCCCTGAATTACAGGTGAAATAATAGCGATTAAGAGATAGGTCTAAATAGTTTTAATTTTCTTTTCTTTTTGTATCAGAAAGTAACATTTTAAAGCCAACACAACCTTTATAGCAGTCATTGATTTTAATGATAAAATACCTTGTATATTTTAGATGTGTGACAATTGGTACTTGAATGTGGTAAGTCCAGGTTTCCCTATAGCTAATGTGACCATAGAACTTACTGTACAAACTGATGCTTTTCAGAGTGACAAAGATGCTATTAATAATTATTCCACAGCAACTGGCATAGCCTAGTACATTGCTAGATGATAATGAAGTATGGTCACCTTCCTTCTAGGCATTTGAAATGATGAAGTTAATTGTATCAATCCTTTAAGACAGAAAATTAACAAACTTATTGACATATCCAAGATATCTCCACAGAGTGCTCATGAATGATAGTACATAAATGATAACATTTCTTGGTGTATATTCAAGATTCAGCAATAACTGGCTCTATTTCAGTAGAGAATAAAACCCCATATAAATATTTAGAATTTTAAGCTTAGTAACTTGGGATAATTATTTTCATTGTGAGTGATTTTTCATAAAAAGAATCAAAGTAAGATTCCATTATGCCGTGAATTCTTTATTGTATTTAACCACTTAGCAGAGAAGTCAGCTGGCAGAGAAAATTTCATGTAAAATATTATGAGTAACTTTGAAGCCAATTAAAGATGAATCAGAATATACCCAAAAAATTATAATTAAAGTCACCAGGGAAATGAGATTGTCTTACATATATGTTTAGAGGAGACCCTATAAAATCAATTTATGTTATTATGTATTTTAGAAATAAATGTAAATGTAATTTTAATTACTTGGTATACAGTGACTATTGAGTTACCTTTTTAAGATCTAATTCCTGAAGATTGCTTCCAGATACTTGATTTTCATGCTGTTTTTATAAAATTATGATACCAAAAACTATTCTTAGAAACTTTATTTTTGTTTCATTTTTTAGGATTCCACATCCTTTTTATTCCCAGGATTTTTTATGGCCATTAAGAAAGCTTCAAGAAAAAAAAAAAAAAAAAAAAAGAAAGCTTCAAGACGCTCCTTTTGATAGCTTTATCTTTCATTACCAATAGAAGGTCCTTGGTATAAAGTGTCTGAAAGATGATTACATGCTTTTACTGGCCATGTTAGAACTTTTTATCAGACATGGACTTACATGGTATTCTTAAGGAGATTTTAGACTAGCAAGTTATGTGATCTTCACAGATGCCCCAAGACAGAAAGACTGTATCATAAACATTATGTCAAGCTAATTCCTGACCGACCATGTTATACTAATTATTGTTGTTCATAGTAATGAATTTGAAACTTATAATCAGAAAATGGGCCAACATATTATCATGTCCTTCTGGTATACACAGAAGTTTGCAAGATCTGGTCACTAGTGTTAACAGAAAGGATTCTACTAAACCACCACCTTAACTAATCAAAAAGATAAGGAAATTGTCAAAGAAGTTAGCAACTTCATTGAGAATATTGGTTATCACATATAAAAAATTTCTGGAACAGTGACAATATTCCTGAGCTAAGTTTTAATATGCTGTGGTTCCAGGCATAGAGAAGTCATTTTTTAAAATGCCAATGGTAATAGAATTATACTACTTAAAGCCTTGAGTTGTGCCTGAAAACTTCATGCTGGATATGTCAAGATGAAAGAACTGTGAAGAATTTGTGGAAGCTATAAAGTACATGATTATGAATTCTGTTAGCATTAAATTACCTATAGCCCCATACAAGACACAAAAATAGAGGAAAAATTTTAGAGATTTCCTGGTAAAAATCTGAAATAAACCAATGGTGAGAGCAGACCAGGCTAGAAAAAGGATTAAGCTACATGAAGTAATTAAGTGGCTGCCTTTAGTTGAGCTTATTATTCATTTTAGAAACATATTTGGGATGTGGACCTTGGTCTGAGAACAAAGAAGTTGTTGTATGCCCCAGGTAATTTATGGCCACCAGGAGGATGTACCCTTCCCCTGTACATCAAGGAACCCAGGACCTTGCAGTTAGACTTTAAGAAAGGGATTCTAGCTTCTAGTATTCTTAAGTCTAGAGTATTAACACTATATAGCTAGCAACCAAGAATCATTGAAACTTGAACAAGCAGCACAAAACCCAACATACTGATGAAAATTTTGATTAATTTCCCTGGATGTAAGAAGTTATTATGAAAGAGGAGGAGAGTTCACAGAATTTAAAAACATGACTTCCAGAATTTAGAGGTGAGGCAGATCATTAAATGGCCCAAATGAACATGATCAAAGATTGGCTATAGACTAAACCAAGGTAGTTTTCCAGAAGGTAGTACAAAAGAATTGTGAAAAGGAAATTAAAAGACAGGAAGTATGGATAAAGTTTTATTAATCTAGTTAGGAGTTCTGTAACGAAACAGAACAGAGAGGAGGATGCTAATCAAAGGATAGGCATTTAAAATGTTTACTACCCGTGTACCCTGTATACAAAGTATTACTTGAGGATGTTTTCTAGAAAAATAAAAAATGAATACACTAAGAGGAAAATAAGAAATGTCAATAACATTGGTGAGCAAATAAGTCTGAAAAAAACTTGAAACTAAACCTAAATATATGGCTGTGAAGTTTAAGACAAACTTCTAAAATTATTCTTAAAATGTAGGAGTGTAAACTTAGATGAAGGAAACTAAATAAATGTGTCAGGGTCCTTAGTGATGGAAAAATAGAAGTTAGAAAATCAACTGAAAAAAGCACTGATAAGACAAGAACATGTCATCAGTAGAGCACAGAGAATCATGCCAGGAATATTACCATTATCAGTTAATAAATGTCTAATTGGATTAGCATGCTTTATAAAAGGCAGATTGTCATTTAGGGTGAAATAAACAAATGTAAAGTGTTATTTTTGAAGCACATTATGGGGCACCTGGGTGGCTCAGTCGGTTAAGCGTCCGACTTCAGCTCAGGTCATGATCTCATGGTCTGTGGGTTCGAGCCCCACATTGGGCTCTGTGCTAACAGCTCAGAGCCTGGAGCCTGTTTCAGATTCTGTGTCTCCCTCTCTCTCTGACCCTCCCCAGCTTGTGCTCTGTCTCTCTCTGTATCAAAAATAAATAAACTTTAAAAAAAGAAAGAAAAACACATTAAAACCCAGGAAGTTTACAAATAAAAATAGGAAGTAAACAAGCTGGGTAAAGGCTAGATATAATTAACTAATGCTTAAAGAAAGCTGAGGAGACGTTATCATATAAGATAAACCAGAACTGAGGACCAAACATATTGAGAGAGAGGGGATGTTTTGTATGTAATGAAGGTCTAATCCACCAAAAATATAGTTGTGAATCTTTTTATACCTGTTTTACAGACATAATTAACATGTGCACATAGTCAAGCATAAAAGCAAGTTTATTTAACATACAGGGGTTTTTTAATTAGACATAAAATCTATTATTTTAACTCTTTTGTAAGTATATAGTTCATTGTCATTAAGTACAGTCACATGGGTGTGCACCTATCAATATCATCCATCTCTTGAACTTTTTTTTTTAATGTTTTATTTATTTCTGAGAGAGAGACAGCATGAGTAGGGGAGGGCCAGAGAGAGATGGAGACACAAGGGTCCAAAACAGGCTCCAGGCTCTGAGCTAGCTGTCAGCACAGAGCCCGATGCGGGGCTCGAGCCCACGAACCATGAAATCATGACCTGAGCTGAAGTCACACTCAACTGACTGAGCCACCCAGGCACCCCTCTAGAACTTTTAAAAATCTTCCTGAAGTGAAACTCTATACCCATTAAATAATAACTCCATTCCAGCATAGGTTTTAATAGCTACAACTTTGAGACTATTGGTTTTTCTGTTTTCTGCTGCTATTTTTCATTTTTGAAACCAGGATGTACACCGCTTGAACCTGTCATTGATGGAATGATGTTACTGATGGCCTAGGAGTAGTTTTCTAGGATATGTAAATTTGGAAAGTTTGAATGTATATTACTGTAAACTTTTGCCTGTGTTCTTTCTAAGCAGTAATGCTAATCAGTATTATCGACTCTGGAGAAAATCATTGGAAAACTGTGTTTGTGCATATGCATGTGCATATGTGTGTGTGGCTTTCCTGAGGCATTTAAAGAACTAGAATGTAAGATTTGAAATACGATGGAAATGAAATAGAGAATTAAGGAGTGCAAATGAAGCAGAGCTTTAAATACATCATCAAAATGCACATAGAAGAATTAATAATTGAATTAAAAGTGAGGAAGAAAACCAGCTCACTTCTCAATTATGCTAGTATATCAGCAAACAACCAGTAGGCCTAAAAAGGAGACTTTCATAAATTTTGGGACCACTATTCATGATGCGAAAACGATTGTCTCTCACTAGTACAAGCACATAAAACTGAAATAAGAGTTGTATTAAATAGAACTTAAACTTTGTATGTGCTGTACACTCTTTTCTATGTTGCTTTTTTTAAAATTTTGGTTTCACTGTATTAAACTAGTTTTAACAACCAGTGAATGGGTTGAAATGTATAGTTTGAAAAACACTGATCTAGTTTTGGCTTTGCTGAATGTCATGAGCCTCAAAAATGGAAGAACTTTTTTACAATAAGGATGGAGAAGTTTGTTGTAGCAGAAACTAGAACAACACCAACGTCTCTACTTACCTTCTCTGTAGAGCTTCTTGAGTAATATCCTTCCATGGTGTAATGACTAACAAGTGGTAGAAAGCTTAGTGTGAAGTGTTTGATGAGGAACATGAGAGTGACTTGTTTGATGAGGAACTATCTGAACATGGATTCCAAAGAAAATTGTCAAGAGTAATGAGCACAAGAAAATTAGTTTGGGGTGAGATAGGACTGCATTGAGTTAAATGGAAATTAGAATAAGAAAGAAAAGAAAAAGAATAATTTAACATAACATTTTGACCTTGACCAAGAGGACAGATGTAATTAATTCTGATACCAAATTTTCAAATGGAATTCTGGGAGAAAGGAATATATTTCTTTTTTTTTTTTTTAAGCTAGTTATAGAAACAAACCAAGAATAATGAAAAGTGACCTTGATCCTATAGTAATTTCAGGAATTCTGTTAAGTAGGTATGTTTTCAGTGTCCTCATCTATAAATGATGTCGTTAGATTAGGAGATCCTTAATCTTGTTACTGAAAATAAAACAAAAATTGATCAAGGTCTTCATATTGCATCCTCATTATTGACAGTGGCATACAAATATGTTTATTGTTTTCTGAGTGGTGCTTGGAAATATTGTGACCAAGCCATTTCATTTATGAAGAAAATGGTTTATTAAATTGAAATATTATTAGTAGTTTCTTCATTAAATGTTCTTTAGTCACAGTTGATTTGTTATTTTTAGTTACATGAACATGCAGCCTACTTGGTGGACAGTTTGTGGGAGAGCTCTCAAGAACTATTGAAAGACTGGGAATGTATGACAGAGTTGCTATTAGAAGAACCTGTTCAAGGAGAGGAAGGTATAGTATTTTGACAAGTTGATTTACATGGTGTGGTGTTTTGGGTTTCCATGAATAATCGTACCATATCTCTATAGTTTATAACATCATTCTAGATTATGACGGCTACCATGCTGCACAAGTTTTTAAGAATCCGTATGTGTTGTGTAATACTCAAAATTTTCTTTATGCTGATTTGAGACACAAAATACTGATGTACTTAATGTAAAAAAAAAATGTGCACCTAGAATTTTATTATATTTATGTGTGAACTTGGAAACACCTTTGACACATAAGGATTTAATTAGAACACAGCCATCCCCCACTTTTTAAAAAAATTTTTAATGTTTATTATATTTGAGAGAGAGAGAGCAAGCAGAGGAGGGACAGAGAGAGAGAGAGACACAGAATCTGAAGCAGGCTCCATGTTAGCACAAAGCCTGACCGCGGGACTTGAAGTCACAGACTTCGAGGTCATAACCTGAGCTGATGTCTGCCGCTTAACCAACTGAGCCACCCAGACTCCCCGCTTTTGTTATATTCTCCTAAATGTTAAGTAAGTCATTTACCTAGTTTCAAGAAATAGGGAGAAATAATTGTATGACAGTTTCTGAAGTATTCATCTTATTACATGTAACATAATTAAGATGAACAACAAAATGGATATATATATTTAATAAAGTATTTATATTCTAATTCTAGAAGTGTAAATGAATATGAAAATGAATATGAGTTCCTTAAAACTAGAAATGCTTTTTCCTACAAATGATTTGTTTCTCAAACTAACACATAATTATACTTTAAAGAACTGCTATTTTACTTAATCCATACAACAGACCTGGAATATAGATACTTTGATATAAGTGACATTTGTAGTGAACTAAATATGGACTTCAAAAATCAAAAGAAATACATTCATATTTTTAACTCTTTTGTGACTAGTATCCTCATTTTTTCTCAGTCTTAGCTTCTTTTTCTTCATAATATGGAAGTTACTTTCTTTACATATCTTAATATGGTTTGTGTATTAAATAAGATAGTATACTGTTGATTCCCACTTATGTTTCCCCTACTGTTTTTTCTGTGCAGTTCAACCCTCTGGAATATAAGAACAAAATGAGCCATCTCCTGCAGTAGACTACCTGAACAGGTCACTAGGAGAGTGATCATCCCCCAGTGTTCTTTCCAAGCAGTGATGCTAATTCACATTATCTACTCTGACTTTAACAAACTCAGTGAGAAAAAAAAAAAAATTCTCTGCTTATTCATCTGTAAAAAAGAAAATTCTAAAAAATCTAGTGTAGATAATCTTCTGTGGTCATTTCTAATAGTAGATTTCTATGATCCAGGTACTGGATAAAGTATATATGGACAAATGGAATTCTTCAAAGCAGGAATCATTAATTTATTTATAATTTTAAAATATTTATTGACCACCTTCTGTATACTATAAACACTCAGGGTGCAGTCCTAAGCAAGGTCAGCTCACTGCCCATAGAGAAGTTTACATCTCGTGGGGAAGGCAGCTCAAAACCAAGTAAAAGAATAATTTCAGGAATTAATAAGTATGATGGATGATAATATTATGAGAGGTCCATCTTTAGATTGAATCCCTAAAGGAAGAATTCTCTGAGGAGACCACTTGTGAATCAAGAATCTGAAGGATGAGGAGGCTAGCCATGGGAAGTGTCAATAGAGGGCCTCCTAACTAGGGTAGATAGCAAATGCAGAGGGTCTGAAGCATGAATGATATTGTTATGTTCCAGGAGCTGCAATAGCTAGAGTGTACTGAACCAATGGCACAAGATGAGATAAAGCAGAAACCAGATAATGTAGAACATTTTAGTTTGTAAGGATATTTATTTAGTTCATTCTTAAGGAGCCATGGAAGGATTTTAAACAGGGAAGTGATATGATCCAATTCATATTTTAAGAAAAGTGGTATTTGCAAACATGGTTTGAATAGTCAGAAGACCAGTTTGATAACTGCCACAGTGGTCTCTATGGGAAATGATAATAAAAGTATAGAAGAGGAAGACGAATTATAAAGAAAGAAAAGAGCCCGTGGCTGAGTTTTAAAGATTGTGGATAGGGGACAAAAACAGGAAGAGCAAGAGAAAGAGCCTCTAGCAAGCTATCTATAAAAGGTAATAGGAAATTATTATACCCCATAAAAGCTCAATAAAGAGGATGTTCAAGAAACCTGTGGTTAATAATATATATATTACTGAGGAGAAGAAAGACTATGCAGAAATTATTAGCTTTAGTGATGATTTAGATTGTTGGTGACTTTTAAGCATTTCCTTTCAGTGGTAGGCAGGGAAAGAAGCCACAGTTCAAGGTGATATGAATAAAACATTAGTGAGGAAATGAAGATAATGTACAAAGAGGTTTCTAAAGGTTTAGAAAGTTGTATAGTTACCTGATAATTCATAGTACAAACAGCTACACATTTCTTTCCATCACTGTGGCTGTTCAGCTCTTTCCTGTGACTTACGGCTTGTTCTGCTTTCAAATTTTATTATTTGGCTTTGCTTTCATATCTCAAAGGGGATTTCAATTAAATTTTAACTGTTAACATGTTTTAATAATACCATGTCTAAATAGATGATTCAGAATTATAAACTAACAAAATTAATGGCATTGGACACTGTGTATAGGTTGGGTTATTCTTCAACACTAAGGATTTTTGTATAGGGTAGGGGAATGTTTCCATACTTGATATGTTATTGTCTCTCCTCACTTTCTATACAACTAAATTTTCTTCATAAGTAAAAGAGAATACATTTAGTTCATAGACAAACTTATTTCTTTTATCTGCAGCCAAATGGGAAAAAGTATGAAATTCTAAAATCATAAAAATAGAAACTTAGTTGTTTTATTGATGGGAAGCTTTTAACTATTATTAGGCTTTGGATCAAGGAGTAGAAATGGAAGAGCTGAAGCTATTCATGTGGCTTTCCCAAGACAGGTGGAACTTCATGTGTTTTTCCTAAGACAATTATAAAATGTTAAAACCAAAAAGTGATTAAGATATCCATACATATTCTTATACAGAATGATTTTAATACATAATAAAAAGGACAAGATTTTTTATGTGTTTGCCTTCTCTTTGCTATTGCCCAGTTTTTTTAATAATTTAACTTCTAAAGCTGAATCTCTTTTAATTTATACCTAAGTCTGTCTCTATAAACCCCATATCTTTTGGCCATAAATAAGTATACAGAGAAAGGGGGAGAGAAGCAGACAGATAGAATTAAGCTATTCAAGTTAGTGTCAAATTTCTATCTTTAAAAATATATAGGAATGAATTGGACAAGAAAAGCACAAAATCAGTGTGAAGAAAACTGTAACATTTTGTTAAATTGACATCAGATAAGATAAAGAGCTATGTTACTACATTCCTGAATGAATATATTATAAAAATGTCAGTTCGGGGCACCTGGGTGGCTTAGTCGGTTAGGCGTCCTACTTTCGCTTGGGTCATGATCTCGCGGTTCGTGGGTTCGGGCCCCGCATAGGGCTCTGTGCTGACTGCCAGCTCGGAGCCTGGAGCCTGTTTTGGGGTCTGTGACTCCCTCTCTCTCTGACCCTCCCCTGCTCACGCTCTCTCTCTCTCTCTCCTAGAAATAAATAAAACATTAAAAAAAAAAAAGGAAAGAAAGAAAGGATCTGTTAGATTCAAAGTACAAGCCAGACTGTGGAAGGAATATTAAAAAAAAAAAAAAAACAGTCAGTTCTTCCTGTATAAAATATATATATATATTTTTTAAATATCAGTGCAAGAAACCACCTGAGTGGTGCAGTTAGTTGAGCATTCGACTCTGGATTTTGCCTCTGATCATGACCCCAGAGTCATGTGATCAAGCGCCATGTCAGGCTCTACACTCAACATGGAGCATCCTTGGGATTCTCTTTGTCTCCCTCTAACCCCTCTCCCCCACTCATGCATGCTCATGCAATCTCTCTCTCTCTCTCTTTCTCTAAAATAAAAAAGTAAAATAAAATACTAGTTTGAATTCCAGTGAGTTTAAGCAAGTTCTTGAAGATGAGATGAGAGAAGGAACAAAGCAAAATGATTTCAAAGTTTACATAATTTTTTTTCTTTTGTTTAAAAGGTCGCATGGCATGGTGCTTAAGAGTACAGACCTTGGAGTAGACTGAGTTCATGTCTTGACTCCACTACTATCTGAGTAGTACTTTGAAGGTTATATAACAGTGCCTTACTCATAAAAAGTGCTTAATTAGGGGCGTATGAGTAGCTCCATCAGTTTAGTGTCCAACTTGGGCTCAGGTCATGATCTCACAGTTCACAAGTTTGAACCCTGCGTCAGGCTCTGTGCTGACAGCTCAGAACCTGGAGCCTGCTTCAGATTCTGTGTCTTCTTCCCTCTCTCTGCCCCCCCCCCCACTCATGCTCTGTCTTTCTCTCTAAAAAATAAACATGAAAAAAATTTTTTTCAGTGCTTAATTGTTTGCTATTAGCATTATAGAAATTAGAAATGTTTACAAAAAAAACTGAGTAAGGGAATCTTGTTGAACTAGATGTTCAGATTAGTTGAATGAAGTTATATATTAAGGTATAACATAATGCTGCTATCATCAAAATAGAATGGCATGATAATAGAACTAGACAAATGGATTAGTGAACCTAGAGAATCCAGAAATTGTCTAACTATATATGAGAGCCTAAAACATTTTTTAAATGTTTAAATGTGACATTTAAATGCAGGGAAAGCTAGTTTACTTAACAGTAGTGGAAGCTAATTGGCTCTTCATCTGGTGTAGGAATAAATAGGCCCATACTTCATGCTATCAGCAGAAACAAATTCCAGACAGAATAAAGGTATAAACTCTAGAGAAAGAGAGGAAATGAATTAGAAAATATATTTTTAGGGGCACCTGGATTGCTCACTTGGTTGAGCATCTGACTTCAAATCAGGTCATGATACTGCAGTTCATGGGCTCAAACTCTACTTCAGGCTCTGTGCTAACAACTCAGAACCTGTAGTCTCCTTTAGGTCTGTGTTCCCCTCTCTCTCTGCCCCTCCCCCGTTCTGTCTCTCTCACCCCCCCCCAAAATAAACATTTTTTTTAAATTAAAGAATAAAAGAAAATATATTCCAGTAATCTCTAGGACAAGGAGATCTTTGAAAGCAATATAAGAAACCCAGAAGCCTTTTTTTATCTATAGGTGTTAATGATGTTAGTTAACTTTGTGATAATCATTTCACAGTATATGTAAGATCATTATGCTGTACAGCTTGTAAAGTGTTATGTCAATTATATCTCATTAAAACTAGAAAGATTAAAAAAAAGCCAAAGCCATAGTACAGATGTGACTTTGTAAAAATTAACAATTTCTGTAAAAATAAATTCTAACAAAAGATACCATGAAGAATCTGACATCAAAAGGACAGACTTGGAGAAAGTATTGGCCTCATTCAAAAGACAAAGTGACTAGTCCTTATATGCAAGAGTTTGAGAAAGGTGAATAACAGTAGAAAAATGGGCAAAGAATAAATATAAAAATCTCAGAAAAAAGTTCTGAGCCAATAAAACAAGAAAATACATTTCACTAATAAGTACAAAGGAAGAAGCAAAATAACAATGAAATACCATTTTTCAAATTGGCAGAAATTAAAGGGATTTATGACATTTAGTGCTGGCTGGGGATATTAGGAGCCAGACATTATCATTTCGGTTGGAGATTTGGATTTCATAAATAACCTTATATTTATTTTAACCTTTGACCTATTACCCTGTCTCAGAATTTATTCTACAGAAACACAAGTATCAGTCACATAAATACATGTGTATTAATGATATTTATTACTGCATTGTTTATAGTGCAAAAATTTGGAAACAATTTGAGTAAAAGGTAGAAGGTTGACTAAATTACACAACACTCATTATGTAATAACTTAGTTATTTAAGAAGTTTATATGTGTATGTAGTGACTTGAAAGATAATTCAAAATCTGTTATTTTTAAAAATATGTATAACACACTTTTTAATTAGAAAAATATATCCTATTGTATGAACTTTAAAATGAACAGAAGGAAATACAGTAAAATTCTGGCATTGCCTAATTCAGAAATATGGTCTAAGATGACACTGCATGTTAGAAGAAACCAGTGTCCTCTTTTTCTTTCTAATATCTCTTTTGTGTTTGACTTCTAAAAAGTGCATATTACCTCTTAAAAAAAGAAAAAAGCATAGAACTTAATTAACCTCAGTCTTTAAAATAACCAGTAATAGAATAAGTTTGCACTTTTTTATAATTGTGTGTTCTCTTTAATACATGGTTATTATAAAACTATCTATTCATACTAATGCTTTTTGTTTCATTTTAGCAATGTCTGACCGTCAAGAGAGTGCTCTTATAGAGCTAATGGTTTGTACGATTCGTCAAGCTGCTGAGGCACATCCTCCAGTGGGAAGGGGTACTGGCAAGAGAGTAAGTTAAATTAGTGAGAAATCTATATAAAGACTTTTAATGTAATTAACTGTCTTAAATATTTGAAAATTTTGCCGGTATATGTATCCATAAAAACATGGAATGTCTGTAAAGGATACATGCTGTGTTCCTTTGTCTTTAGATCCTGTCTGCTGTACTTAGCTTTCAAAAATAGATTCTTTTCTTCTATGTTCCTGAGTACTTGCTTCTATTCTAGTACTTTAATAATTTTCACATTCATATCTGTTAAAAATGCAGAACGTCTCTGAAAGTAAACTGCCAAGTTTTACTCTTCCATTTAGCAACTGTTTAATCTTTGGATAGCTGATTATTTTACTTGTGTATTAATTCCCTTATTTGTAATATGGGGCTAATAATGCAAGTTTTATTGATTATAAAGATGAAATGAGATAGTCATTGATGGAAAGACCAGCTCTGGTGGTGTGCAGAGGTAGGTAATTCCTCTCTGTGAAGAAAAAAGAAGAAAGGGAAACTGCAAAATTTGTCAAAAAACCTTATCAAAGAGCTCTGGAAATTCACCAGAGATAAAAAGCAAATTGAGAAGCATTTGTTTTTGAAAAGTTACTAAAGCTTCAGGTAAAAGCAATAGGAGTCTACTACCTTCTTGCCTGGAATTTTAATGCACACACACCCATCCACACAGTTGACATCCTTGTACCAGGGTGGTACTGTCTGCAAAAACCAGCAGCTTTGCTCTCAGAGGGGCGGACTCAGTATGGTACAAATGGCAAAAGTCCAGAGCTTTGTGAACTAAAAATGGCAAACATGGTAGAAACAAACAAGGAAAACCCACAGCTGTGATACTTAGAGGTTGTGGTCCCAGATGGGAAGAACAGAGGACCAGCCAAGAATCTAAAAAATCCTGGATATGAGAAAGCCATAAAAGGATGAGATGAGGCATGCATCACTGCCTGACTGAAAAACCTGAGAAAACCCAGTGGAAAATAAAAGTCAAAGCAAACTTAGGTACTAGGTAGGCTTTGTTTTTTCTTTTATTAATTTTTTATTTTAATTCCAGTGTAGTTAAAATACAGTGTTTTGTTAGCTTCATATATATAATAGTGATTTAAGAATTCTGTACATTACTCAGTGCTCATGATGGTAAGTGTACTCTTTAATCCCCCAAGTCCCCACCCTCCTCCCCTCTGCATCAGTTCCTTCTCTGTAGTCTGTTTCTAAGTTTGTGTGTGTCTCTTTCTCTTTTCCTTTGCTCATTTGTTTCTTAAATTCTATGTATGAGTAAGATCATATGCTATTTGTCTTTGTCTTTACTTATTTCACTTATCATTATACTCTATAGCTCCATCCATGTCCTTACAAATGGCTAGATTTCGTTCCTTTTTATGGCTGAATAATATTCCATTGTGTATATATACTGTATCTTCTTTATCCAACTACCAATGGACACTGGGCTGCTTCCATATTTTGACTATTTTAATAATGCTGCAATAAACATAGAGCTGCATGTATCCCTTTCAATTAGTATTTTTGGGTTTTTTTTTTTTGCATTTTACCCAGTATTGCAATTACTGGATTGTGGAACAATTCTATTTTTAACTTTTTGAAGAATGTCTATACTGTTTTCCACAGTGGCTGCACCAGCTTGCATTCCCACCAACAGTGCATGAGTGTTCCTTTTTCTCCACACCTTTACCAACACTTGTCTCTTGAAGAACTGGCCGATCTTTGAATATACTTTCTAACCCGGGTCTCAGAGGGGAGAAGCGTTATAGATTGGAAGTATTTAAGCACAGACTCTGCCCAGATCATTGATTGACCAGTAATCTATTGAAACACTGAAGACTCCTAGGAAACAGGCTTAAAAACAAAAATAATAAAAATTCTAAGCAGAGGCCACACACATCATAGTAGAGACAGATTATGTATACAGTTCAAGATTGCATTTTTAAATAATGAAACTTAGAAATATCATTTAAAAATCCATAATTCCTTCACTGTATTACCTAAAAATATTGACTCTTCCAGAAAAAATTAAAACCATGTAAAGAAACAGTAAAATGTGACCGTACACTGGGAGGAAAAAAGCAAACAGTATAAATGACTTCTCATTAGGCCTAATTGTTGGATTTAGCAATTACTTCAGAAAATATGTTCATAGAATTATAGGAAAATATAACAAGGGATCTTAATAATGAAAAACTTCATGGAAATTCTAGAGGTGAACAGTACAGTGATATTTAAAATTCATTATTTGGGTTTAACAGCAAATTTGAGATGACAAGAAACATCCTACATGGACCTAGATTAACATTAATCATTCTGAAGAACAGAGAGGAAAGAAGATTGAAGAATGACAGAGCCTGAGAAATATGTGAAACAGTATTAAGTGTTTCAGATTTGTGTAATGAGAATTCCCGAAAGAAAGGATGAGAGAAAGAGACAGGAAAGAAAAACATTCGAATAATTGCCAAAATCTTCCCAAATTTGATGAAAACTATTAATCCACAGATAAAGAAGCTTAACAGAACTCAAGTAGTGAACACAAAAGATTTGTCTCTGGACAGAATAGTCACTCTCGAAAACCAAAGACAAAAAATCTTGAAAGCAACAAGGGAAAACATATGTAGAGGGCAGTTGTAATAAGATTACCAATTAATTTTTTATCAGAAACCATGGAGCCCAAAAGACAGAATGAAATATCCACTGAAAGAAAATTGCCAACCAAATTTTTATACACCAATGATGAAGCAACAGAAAGAGAAATCAAGAAACTGATCCCCTTCACAATTGCACAAAAAACCATAAAATACCTCGGAATAAACCTAACCAAGGATACAAGAGATCTGTATGATGAAAACTATAGAAAACTTATGAAGGAAATTGAAGAAGACACAAAGAAATGGAAAAACATTCCATGCTCATGGATAGGAAGAATAAATATAGTTAAGATGTCATTACTACCTAAAGCACTCTACACATTCAATGCAATTCCAATCAAAATTGCACCAGCATACTTCTCAAAACTAGAACAAACTATCCAAAAATTTGTATGGAACCACAAAAGACCCCGAATAGCCAAAGTAATACTGAAAAATAAAACCAAAACGGGAGGTATCACCATCCCAGACTTCAGCCTCTACTACAAAGCTGTCATCCTCAAGACAGTATGGTATTGGCACAAAAACAGACCCATAGACCAATGGAACAGAATTGAGAACTCAGAAGTGGACCCAAAAGTATACAGCCAACTGATCTTTGACAAAGCAGGAAAGAATATCCAATGGAAAAAAGACAGCCTTTTTAACAGATGGTGTTGGGAGAACTGGACAGCAACATGCAGAAGAATGAAACTAGATCATTTTCTCACACCATGCACAAAAATCAACTCAAAATGGATAAAGGACCTGAACGTGAGACAGGAAACTATCAACACCCTAGAGGAGAAAGCAGGAAACAACCTCCTTGACCTCCACCGCAGCAACTTCTTACTTGACACATCCCCAAAAGCAAGGGAATCAAGAGCAAAAATAAACTGTTGGGACCTCATCAAGATTAAAAGCTTCTGCACAGCCAAGGAAACAACCCAGAAAATTAATAGGCAACCAACGGAATGGGAAAAGATAGTTGCAAATGACATATCAGATAAAGGGTTAATATCCAGAATCTATAAGGAACTCACCAAACTACACGCCCGAAAAACAAACAACCCAGTGAAGAAATGGGCAGAAGACATGAACAGACACTTCTCCAAAGAGGACATCCAGATGGCCAACAGACACATGAAACGATGCTCAGCATCCCTCCTCATCAGGGAAATACAAATCAAAACCACACTGAGATACCACCTCACGCCAGTCAGAGTGGCTAAAATGAGCAAATCAGAGAACTCTAGATGCTGGCGAGGATGTGGAGAAACGGGCACCCTCCTACACTGTTGGTGGGAATGTAAACTGGTACAGCCCCTCTGGAAAACAGTGTGGAGGTTCCTCAGGAAACTAACAATAGAACTCCCTTATGACCCAGCAATAGCACTGCTAGGAATTTACCCAAGGGATACAGAAATGCTGAGGCATAGGAGCACATGTACCCCAATGTTCATAGCAGCACTCTCCACAATAGCTAAAACATGGAAAGAGCCTAAGTGTCCATCAACAGATGAATGGATCAAGAAGATGTGGTTTATCTATACCATGGAATACTACATGGCAATGAGAAACAATGAAATCTGGCCATGTGTAGCAACATGGATGGACCTTGAGGGTGTTATGCTGAGCGAAATAAGTCAGGCAGAGAAGGACAAATATCATATGTTTGCACGTATAGGAGGATTAGGAGGAACTTGACGGAGGAACAAGGGGGAGAAGAAGGGCGGAAATGGTGGGGGAAAGGGAGAGAGGCAAACCATGAGAGACTCTTGAATGCTGACAAAAACTGAGGACTGATGGATGTGGGGGGGAGGGGGGGATGGGCATGAAGGAGGGCACTTTGGGGATGAGCACTGAGTGTTATGTAGAAACTAATTTGACAATAAACTATTTGTAAAAAAAAAAAAAGAAAATTGCCAACCAAGAATTCTAAATCCAGTAAAATTAACCTTTCAAATATGAAGGTGAATTAAAAACATCCCCAGATAACATCCCCAAAGATTTAGAGACATGCTGCTCATAGACCTGCCTCAGAAGAAATACTAAAAAAATCCTTTAGGCTATAAGAGTAATACTGGATATTAATTCTGATCCATAGGAAGGAATGAAGAGTACCAGAAAAAGTAATTATGTCGGTGGAAATAAAAGGCCATGCATATTAATATATCTTTTCTTTTTTTTCTTAATTTCTTTAAAGGGACATGAGATTAATAAAAGCAGTGATTATAGCACTAAAGTATTAAGATCATATGACATACAGATATATGTGACCAATAACATATATATAATAACACATAATAATATAAAGGCAAAGAAAATGGAATTCCATTGGAGCAGAATTGCTGTATTTGCTGTAACTCAGTTACTAGTCAA